GGAGCGGAAGGAGCCGAGCCCCGACATCCAGGAGAGCTGTGCCTGGAGCTGAACCAGGCCAGGCTTCCCATCCCGCACATCCCCATGGAAACCTCGGCCCCGCCGCCCCGCCTCGCACCCGTGCCCGATTGTAGGTCACCGATGGCCGCGCCGGTCCAGGGGGGCGAGGGGGGCTGTCCGAGGGGGAGGGGAGCTCCCCGACACCCAGGGGCTCCTGCCGAGGCTTCCAAAGCTGCGAAGGGGAGAGGGATTGAGCCCTTCCCCCCGTCCCCGCCCACACCCACCCCACTGAGCAGCTTTAGGGGTCCCCGGCAGCATCCCCGCAGCCCTGGCAGCATCCCGGCCCCTCCACGGACCCCGAGGTGCGTTGGGTGCCCCACCACGGGGGTTTGCAGCCGCAGGACCGCCCCCACCCCACAGCCGGTTCTGCTGGTCCTTCCCCTCCTGCGCTCCCCTCCCAGCACGAGTCCCCTGAATGCTCCATTTGAAGCTAATTCCGGCTGAAATCTGGTTCGCTTTCGAACGTTGCTGCTTTAAATTGGAGAGATTGACCTTGTAGCAGGAGGTGACATGCAGATGCACATCAGCAGCCCGTCAGAGCGGCGGCGGGGGCTGGGGGGGTGCGGAGCCGCCTCGGGGACAGGCCAACTATTTTATGAGTAATTTAATATCTGGAACACAGACTTTTCATTCCCAGAGATCTGCTGGGGAAAGAAAGAGCCTTTCTGCAGCCCTGCGAAGGCTGTTCCTCATAAGGAGGCAGAGCAGAAAAAACAGGGCTGGGATTTAACCCCTTGGTGTCCAGTCCAGCGCAGAGGCTCCCAGCTCCCGGTCCCTGCAGAGGGGCCAGGAAAAGCAGGAGTTCCCTGCACAGCTCAGAGTGGAGACAAGCCAGGCTGTGTTGCTCCAGGCAAAAGAAGTAATTGCTCCTTCCCATTCAAATTCAAATCCAAGCCTGAGTGAGGATGGGGGAAACAAACAACAGCCCTGAGGTGAGATTTGAGGTAGGAGCTGGTGTCTGAACACTCTTCCCTGTCCCAGACTGGTCCCTGCTGTATCAAACTCCACAAGAGTCCCTCTGGGGTTGGGACCACCCTCCAGTGGAACCAGTGCACGCAGAGGACCCATGGAGGGAGCTTCTGCCCTGCTGACAATGAAGCCACCATGTGTGACCCCAGTAACCACCAAACCTGAGTTGCTGCTGCTGTGTCCTGTTGCTGTCTGCAACATCCCAGCAGGCACAGTCCTGTCCCAGTAATGCCTCTGCCAAAAGCATTCCAGCATCCTGGTACAGCACTGAACCCATACAGATCTTCCCATAGTCCAATACAGCTCCTGCTTGATATTATGGTTTGGAGAATGGGAGGGAAGGAAAAACACAATCCCTCCTCCCCTATATTTCACTACACAGTCTGGCCCAAGGGGAGAGGAGACTGTGCCTCGGAGCTGGCTTTTCAGGAGGGAGCTGCTGGCAAGGGAAAAGCCTCCCTGTATTTGGGAGCAGAGTCACAAGCTGCATGGGAGAAGGGCTGGTTGGAGGGGCTTGCATGGGGGACTGCTCCAGGAGGCCCTGCTGGGCAGCCTGGCTGTGGCTGATGCTTCCAGCAAGGACCAAGGCCAAGCAAGGATGGTTTAGGAAGGGCTCTTCCTTGAGCAGCAGGTACTAGGAACTCATGGGCTCAAGTGCAAACAGTCTTTGCAGGCTCCCCAGCATTTACTGGTGGTGTTAGACCAGACTGTGGGACTGACATCACTGCCTCAGTCTCACTGACAAACAACACAGTCGTGCTTTCATGTGTCCAGCTCAGCTTCATTTCCACAAATATTGACAGGCACGATGGATTCTCCACTGCATCAGATCCTGCCAAAGTCCTGCCTCTGGAGCTTTAGCACAGAGGAAACTTCCAAGCCCCCACAGATGATGCAGGAGAAACCTCCACCTGGTTTTCTTGCTGGTCTCTGTTGCTGATCCTTGATGCTCTGTGCCTGGAAACAGGAAGATTTTGTTTTAAAACCCTGGCAGCTCTACCAGTCTTTGCCCACGTCTGTGCTCCTGTTTCCCTCTCTGTTCCCCTCCAGCACCGACAGACCAAAGCACCCCACAGCTGCTTGGCAAAACACTGACAAACCCTAAAACTCCCCAAGTCACCTCGAAATACCTCCTGCCCCAACTTCAGCATCTGCTGAGCATCTGGTGGCCTCAGCCTGTGCACAGGTGAGGGTCACGGCACCTCCTGGTGACAGGCAGTGGCTGGGCCATGGGGAGGCACCGCGGCCACCCTGAAAATAAACCCCGAAGGGAGCGAAGAGGAGCAGAATGGGCGTGTCAGGGCAGAGCTGCAGAGCTGCAGAGCACACACGGAGCAGAGGGGGCGTTTGAGGGGCGGGGGGAGCGAGCGGGCACAGGGGGGAGGGTGCACCGTGTGAGCACACACAGAGCGACGTGGATGGGCAGGAACGGGTGTATGTGGAGCACAAGTCCGGGGAGGAGCAGCCAACGGAGCTGGGGGGGTTCAACCTGGAGAGGAGGAGGCTCAGGGGAGACCTTCTCACTTTCTACAAGTCCCTGACAGGAGGGGGGAGCTGGGTGGGGGTCGGGCTCTGCTTCCAGGCAACCAGCAGCAGGACAAGAGGGCACAGCCTTGAGCTGCACTAGGGGAGGTTTAGGTTGGACATTAGGAAGAAATTCCTTACAGAGAGGGTGATCGGACACTGGAATGGGCTGCCCAGGGAGGGGGTGGAGTCACCATTTCTGGAGGTGTTTAAGAGGAATCTGGATGTGGCATTTAGTGCCGTGGTCAAGTAGACAAGGTGGTGTTGGGTCAAAGGTTGGACTCGATGATCTCAGAGGTCTTCTCCAACACGGTTGACTCTGTAATTCTGTGTTTCTGTGAGGACAGACACTGCAGGTCTATTCCTGCAGTGCAGCTGTGCAAGGTTGAAGTGTGCTGGGCTCAGATGCTCGTGGGGAAGGTGTGAGGAATTAATTAAATATGTAAATTGTCCCTTTCCTGAGGATCAGTGACCTCAGGCAGTTGCACTGCCCTGATCTGCTCTTATCACCCACCACACCTAACCCTGCACAGGTTTCTCTCCAGCTCTCCTGTTAATGGTTGTGTTGTTGTTCCAGAATTGCTCCATGTTCTGTGAATGAATTCTGGACCTCAAAGCAGGGTGGGGAGGTTTGGGAGCAGACCTGGATCAAAGTTTTGGTGTCCAACAGCATCCCAGATGAAGCTTCCTCTTGCCCAACCTGTCCTATTACATGGGGTTATCCCATGCCAGAAGAAGGCATTAAATGCCTCCTGTCAGCTCATTTTCCAGCCTGTTAGGGCTCTTGGAATGGCAGTACATCCACTGTGCATCGACTGCTCCTTGCTTCAGTGTCTCCTGGCAGGAGATGGAGCTGGTGTTCAATGTAGCCCAGCTCGGTTTTGGGGATTGCTCTTGTCCTTCTTACCATTACTGCTGTCCTGATTTTTGGTGGGATGCTGCATCTCCAGCTGTGAAACACCCTGAGTGTTGTGGCTGCGTTTTAAAAGCCACCAGGGCTCTGGCACCGAGAGAACTTCGGGTCGTGACACCCAACACCTCTGCCCCGACCTTCTGAGAGGAGCAGAGGTCTGGGGACACGGGTGGCTGTGTCCTGCAGCCTCAAATTTTGCTGCAGGAAGGATGAAGCAGCGATGTGGGGAGGAGGAGGAGGTATAGACTGGGCTGGAAAGGGGAGACTCCCTAATCCCGCCCGCTGCCTCCTCCCAGACCTCACGGGCAGAGCTGAGCCGGCCCCTGGAGCTGTGCCCGCCCAGCCGGCGGGACGAGCATGGTCCTGCTGCTGGGTGAGGGCTGAGCCAGTCTCCAGTGCCACCTGCCGGCAAATCACCCCGGCCACGAGCAGGAGCCTCTAAGCCAGTCACGACGGCGTCAGTCACTGTCCTGCGCTGGTAGAGGGACACCTGAGCATCCCAGAGCTGCGGGGGGCCCTCTGGACGTACAAGCAGGCGCGGAGAGCTCCACAAATCCAGCCCATATCGCACCCACCTCCCTAAGACCCTTTATCGTCATCCTCTCCATCCAGCCCCACGCTCCCACAAAAATTCTCTTTTCTACTTCCTGAATGTCCCGTGTCCACCGTGAGCTGGGTTGGGGTCTGCAGACAACTCACCACCCAGGTACAGCACTGGGTTGTCCCCTGCCTCGTGCCGGGGATGTCATTGGGTTGCTCAGCTTTAATTCATTTGGATGTCTTTGAGTCCATCAGCTCTACTGTTAATGAGGAGATCTCAGGGAGGACTTGGCTGTGCTGCAGGACATGTGTGTGTCGGTTCTCTGCTGGGGTTTTGGGGCTGTGTGGGCGCAGCTGTGTGTTCCACACCACTCCCATCGTGGTATCAAACTGCCTTCCCTTGTGACACACACATTATCACAAGCTTTGACAAATTCCTGTGGATGTTTTTGTCACCACCACCAGAAAAAAAAAGTCTAAGAGAAGTTGGGTTCCCAGATCCTGCCACTGTCAGGAGTCCCCAGTACAGCACCATCTCCAGCATCTTCCCATCTACCATCAGTACACAGTGGCCCCAGTTATGTCATGTGTCCTGTCCCCTCCTAGAGGCCAGGCTGCCTCTCCATGTTTTCCTAACCCTAGGCTGGGACTCTCTGGGTGTCTTGGAAGGTGATCCTCAGCCTGGTGTGCAGCAGGAACTGCGTGAGTTGTCTGGCTCTGCTCAGCAGTAATGAGATCCTAATAAACCTGGGCTGCACCAGGATGATGGGAAGCAATGCCCTGGGTATTGCTTATGTGGGGGGAAAAAAAGGCAAATCCGAGGCAGAAAGGGACCAACAACGCAAAAAGCTGTCATTTAATGGGCGGGAATGGCAACAATGCACTTGGGGCACCGATTTGGGAGCCAAGAGTCGTTTGCAGGGGAGTGCTCAGCCCTGCAGAGGGGGCTGCAGCGACACCTCCAGCGGGCTAAGCCTCAGGGAAGACGAGGAAGCCGGAGAAGATGCTGTCGGACCCCTCGATCCCCACCAGGGAGTTCTTCTCCGTGGGCTCCAGCCAGACAGACTCGTTCATTGCCATCTTGAGGACCACGCCGCCCGTGGTGACCTGGAAGCTGCTGTGCACGTAGTCACAGAAGGTCACCACCTTCTCCCCCCTGCTGCCGCCTCGCCCCTTTTTGAAGCTGAGGCAGAGGTTGCCCCTGGAGGTGACGTGGTAGGTGAAGTAGTAGATGCCGGGGACGCGGCAGAGGAAGCGGCCGTAGCGGTTCTCGTAGTGGCCCCTCTCGTTGGTGACGACGCGGTCGAAGCGGACGGGCTGCTCCCGGCGGGGGTAGGTGCTGATGCTCCTGGCAGCGGAGAAGGCAGACTTGAGGGTGGCCTGGTAGTCTCCAGAGTCCCCCGGCGGGCCAGGTAATCCGATGAGACCTGGTAATCCCCTGGCACCTGGTGGGCCCCTGGGGCCGACCTTCCCCGGGTACCCCGGCTCTCCCGGGTCTCCCTTCTCCCCCAGGTCTCCTTCATGCTCCGCCCGACCAGGAGGTCCTAGGAAGCAGGAAGAAGAGTCATTGTGGTCACAGCTGAGCCCCACAGGTCTGCAGAGGGAGTCTGGGGAAGGAAACCTGCACGCGTTGTGGGTCAGACCCCTGCCCAACTGGCAGGTGTGAGAGGATGAAAATCCACCTCCAGTAATCTGTCAAGATGTAGAAAATCTACAGAAATTTGTGAAAGAACAAAAAAAAGTTCAGGAAGAAACTAGTGGGATGTCCCCTAAACAATGCTTAAAGTAGAAGAAGACATTAAAGCTTTGAAACAGCTTCTGTCTGTAGTTGCCAGTGAAACACTCTTAATATCGACAAACTGAAAGTGGAAACTGCACAGGGGCTGAAGAATGCAAAAATAGCATTGCAAATACTGAAAACTTGCTGTTGTTCACCCTCCCTCCCCAGGTTCCTCAGTGAGCTCCAGTCTGTCCAGTCCCTTCTGTCCCTGAGCATCACCCTCACCTGACAACACCTCAAAGGAACTGGTGAAAATGGATTGCTTTCCCAGGACCACGTACCTGGCTCTGCTTTTTCCTGCTCTTGGCATTCCCAAGATGATTGTCTTCCCCACCTGCAGCCTCCTCCTTACCTTGCTCGCCCTTTGGGCCATCCTCCCCATCTCTGCCATTGCTGCCAGGTCGTCCTGGTGAGCCTGGGATGCCTGGGATGGTGCCGTAGGTCTTGCAGAGTGTGGCACTGGCAAGCTGCCCTTCAGCCAGGCAGATCAGCATCACCCACACGATCCACATCTGCAGAGGCACAGAAGGGTGTGGAGGGGCTTGCCTGGGTGGTGGGAGGGTTGGGGAGGGCACTCTATGCTACTCTGAAGGATGGTGACTGGAAGCACATCTGGGTAATATCACCAGGGAGGGAAAACATCCTACTATGGAGCCAAATCTGCTGTCCTGATGGCCTTGGAGGGAAGGACCAGTCCTTTTGGGCCAGGCAGAGATTGTCAGTCTCTGCTCATCTTAAATTCCCAGCCTCAGGTGGACTTTCCCAGCACTGAAACTCTGGTGCTAGCAGGACAAGAGGTTGGTGAGTTGGATTCCCCAGCCACGGCAGGTCCAATTTGGATGTGACAGGATGAATTCACAGGCTCCTAGCCCAGGTCTATCACATGACCAGAGCATCTAAGAGCAGGAGACCACACCCAGGGCACCTTTCAGACTACTACCCAGTCCCTGATCACCCTTCTGGGACTTTGCAATCTCCCCTTTCATGTTCTCCTTTCTCCCAGGTGGAGCAGGAGAGGTTGGGGTCCCACCAGAAATCTCCACCCAGCATCCCCACCACCCCTTTTCTCTACTGCCCCAAGCCACAGGGAAGTGCCAGGGGTGCAGGTGACTGTCACCCTCCTGGGACCAGGTGTTCCACATGCTCCTGCCTGTGCGGGGGCCTGGGGCTCAGCCTTGCTCTTACCTTGAGCTCCTTGTTGCTTGGGTGGGGAGGTGGAGTGGGACACACCAGCGTCCTGCTTGGAAATGCCTGCGAGGAGAAGCAGAAGTTGGCTGCAGGAGTTATTGTGAAAGGATCTGGGACACATCCCGTTTTTTTATCTTTAGCTCCTGCCCTTTTGTCCGTGGCAGTTTCACATCCTCCACGAGTGCTCTCTGCCAGCTCAGCAGAACAAGCCACCCCCAAACAGCCCCCCCAGAGTACAGCTCTGTCCTGCAGGGTCCCTGGATCCTGCTCAGATGCCCCCCCCTGCTCAGAAGAACACTGACCTGAGCTCCAGACAGGTTTGGGGTAACCCACCGGTGCCGCAGAGTTGTGCGTGCGCTCAGCCAACCTCCCTCAGCTCTGCTGGGAGGCTCTGGCAGACCCAGGGGATGCTGCAGGGCCTTGGCATCCATCATCCTGAATATGTGCCCCAGGCTCTCCTAAATGTTGTGTGTGGGAAGTGATTTTACCCTGCGGGAAAAGCATTCCCAGGCCTGCTTTCCCCTGCTGCCTTGCCAGGGTGAAGCGCAGGACACTGGGATATGACCTGTTCCACCCTGTGTGCCACCAGGAGGAGTCCCCATTGAGTTTTGGTGGGCTCTGCAGCCTGCACAGCCATGAACTCCTTTGGTCTGGGTCAGGGAAGCAGAGCTCTGTCCCTGGCAGGGCTGGGACCCCGGGGATATCCCCCCCTCAGTGGCGTGTCAGTGGGGTTTGCTGCGTGGTCTGTGCCCATCTGCAGCTGGATTGCTTCCACTTTGATGGGGAAGGGGAGGAGCAGGGGCCCTACTTGGAGGAGTCTTGGTCCTCCCTTGGTGGGGCCTGTGTGGGGGCAGAGGAACCATCCCGTTCTTGCAGGCAGTGCAGCCAGGGGTCGTACCCTCACCCCACCCCGAGCCAGGGTGTGCATGGTGTGTGATGTCACTGATGCTGAGCACAGCAAGGGCTCAGGGACTTGCTGATGCCACACAGATGTCCAGATGTCACACACACATCCGTCACCATATCCATCAGGCTCTACCTGCAGAAAGGTAAGTCATGAAGGACACAACACGCTATACCAGGTGCACTGGGGAAGGATTTATTGACACTTTCCACAGCCAGGTCATGGCAAAGGGGCTGCTGCAGCCCCAGGACACCTGGCTGAACCTGGGGCAACCAAGGTGGGGAGGGGAGAGAGGCAGAGAGACCCCTGAGGTAATATCGGTTTACTGGGTGGGGTTATAAGGCAGTGCCAGTGGGACAGGGGGCTCAGCACCATCACTCTGGGTGCAGATGCATCCAGATGTGCCTGTTCCCCCTGTTCAGCAGCTGCCAATGCTCAGTCCTCACACTGAGGGATTGTGTCTGGGGGGTGATGCCCTCGCTGGGGCTTCCCACTCAGCAGAGAAACTGAGAGTGTCAGCAGCAGCCTGGCAGTGAGCAGTGTGTTTGGGGCAGGATGAAGCAGTCAGGGTGCTGGGGTGGGCTCTGGTGACCCTCTAGTCTGGGAAGAGCAGGAACCCTGAGAAGATGCTGTCAGAGTTGGCGATGCCCACCATGCCGTTGTAGTCGTTCACTCCCAGCCAGACCTGGTCCTCAGCAGCCAGGTGGAGCAGGAGCCCCCCCGAGCTGACCTGCATGGTGTTGGTCTTGTGGTCACAGAAGCTGGCCATCCTCCTCTGGTTCTTGTGCAGGATGGTGCAGAGGTTGGCTGTCTGCGAGGTGTGGAAGACGAAGTAGTAGAGCCCGGGGAGTTTGCAGGTGAACTTGCCCGTGGTGGTGTTGTAGTCGTGGTTGGTGTTGGTGATGACGTGGTTGAAAATCACAGGGACGTTCCTCAAGGGGTGCTCCTTGGTCTGCCTCGTCACTGAGAACGCTGACTGGTGCTTCTGCTTGTAGCTGCCTGGCATTCCTGGCTCTCCAGGCAGGCCTATCACCCCAGGGTCTCCAGCGGGACCAGGAAGGCCACTGGGACCCTTCTTGCCTGGCAAGCCAGGGCTGCCCGGTTCCCCTTTCATGCCCTTGGGCCCTTGCACTGCAGGAGGAGCTGGGATACCTGTGGAGTGGTGGGGAGTGAAAGGGAGTCGGTGTCAACAGCAGGATGTGAGGAGAGGCTTCTTCTCCAGCCCCTTCCCTTGGGCAGGAGAGTGCTGTTGCCTCTTTCCAGCCTGACCACAGAGGGTGCTCTCCACAGCCTGCAAACCAAGGCAGACCAGCCATGGAGGCCTCAATGCTCCCCACTGCAACAGCCCTGTGGTTTCCCTCATTTCTCACTCACCTGGCTCCCCTTTGGCTCCCTTCAGCCCATCCCGGCCGTCCTTGCCTGGCATACCCGGCATTCCTGGCAGGCCTGGAGCTCCATAGCAGTTGTGAGGGGCATCTCCATTCACAGCAGAGCCCACATGCAGGAGGAGGAGGGTGAGGGCCAGACTGAGCTGCTCCCAGAATCTCTGCTCCATTTTGGTTCTGTAGCATGCAAAGGGAAAGAAATGCTGGAGTGAGGGGCCATGGCAGGGTGGCTTCCAGGGCATGGAGAAAAGGAGGCTGGCTGCATCAGGAGCTCCTGGGTCCCATGAGTGTGCCCTCAGTGTCCCACCCCTACCAACTGCCAGGCAGTGAGGAGGTGGATACGTGGAGATGGGCCCTGTGCTCATCACCAACCCCAGGGCAGTCACTGATGGCACAAGTTGGGTTGGACTTCCAGTCTGGATGAAGCTATGAGGTCTGTGGTAGCCACAGCCAGCTCCAAGTCCTCCCAGTCCAGTGTCCAAGCCCCTGGTGATGCACACACCGCTGTGGACTGCCACACTGTGCTGCACCAAGGCTGGAGCTCCCTGGACCCAGCTGATCTCATTCCCCCTCCAGCAGCAGCCTCACTGTCTTGGCTCTGTCCCTCGGGTTGATTATTTCCATCTGCTGGTGCATCCATCACATGTGTGCAGCCCAGCAGTGCCTGTCTCCTTCCCCTCCTCCTCCTCCTCCTCTCACATCCACATCCTCCTCACAGCATTGCTGGACCCTCAGGCCCTCTGCAGCCCACCCGAGACACAGGGACCCTGCAGCACCTCTTACCTCTGGTGGGGAGCAGGGGACAGGACCCTGTGCTGCTGGTCCCTCTGGCCGTGGCAGTCACTGCACAGGGACAGACCCTGTCACCCTCACAGAGGAAGCTGCAGATTTGGGAAAGGCCCTTGGGGACCCAGAACCCCCAGCTGTCCCCAGCAGAGTTTCACATCCTTCTGCCTGGCTGTTTCTGCTGAGTGAGCACTTTCTTGGCTGTCTAGCGAGACCTGCACTCGTGCCACTGCAACAGGAAGGGCTGGAAGGACAGACGTGGGACAAAGCTCTGCCAAAAGATGTGCCACCACCCTCAGAAGCCCCCCCCGAAATCACCTGCTTTCCCCTTCACTTGTTTCTGAGCAAAAGGGCAGTGTGGAGAGCAGAGCCTCAGGCCAACTCTGTTGGGCTAGAGATGCCTGTGCCACTGAAGGGCTGGTGCGAGGTCGCTGCCGGGCTCTGATGGAAGATGCTGCACCCCTAAATGGGACTGGAGGGTGTTTCTCCTTGAGAGTTTCTGACCTGCACCTTCCACTGTGCTCCACCAGTTCTGCTGGGTGCTGGGCTTTGTGAGGCCCCAGCATGCCTCGTCAGGGTGTTGCTCCACTCAGTGACCTGGCCTCCTCCTCACAGCTCCAGGAACGGAGACATTTGAGTGCCCAGTGTGTGTGCAGTAGCTCCCCTGAGGAGCAGACCCAGGGTATGGCACCTATGTGTCTTTCCTGATGCTTCTCAGCTGTCTGATTTGTGCCCAGCTTATTGTACCTCCCACCCATCTCACCCCAAGGCCCTCACAACTCCACCACCAACACCCCACAACCCCATCAGTCACCCTGATATCCCTGTCCCTCCTTGCTGTAAGGCCAGAGGACCACAGCTGCCTTTCCTCTTCCTAGGAGAGTTTGGATACTAACAGGGGCCACATTGGTGAGGTGCATGACCTGCTGCCTGTGTTTTCCCTTGCAGGACAGCTGCCTTGGGCTCAGCAGAGAAGGACACACATAGCCTAATCCCAGCATTCCTCCCTGTAAGTGTCAACTCTGACTGGACACTCCATTCCCTCCTGTCCTTCTCCCTCTGCAGTGCCAGGGACAAGCTGGGATCACTTCTCTCCCTGGACAGTTTGGGGGGGGATCCAGGATATTCATGGTTGGGGGAAGATTGCATGAGTAGAAAAGAAAACTCAAAGAGCTATGGTGAAAGAAGGGTTTATTTATACTGATGGAGAGGATGTGAGAGAATGTGTTCCAGTGCCAGGAAGGCATTTACAGTGGTTAGAGTAGCAGAAGCAGTGGCAGGCAGTGATTTCCCACCCAGGAGCAAAGAGCCACAGCTGGTGACAACTGGGACCTGCTGGAGTGAGGTATGAATGCCCAGGAGGAGAAAGGGATGAGAGTCCACTGCCTCCAGGATGGAGTGGGCAGGCTCAGCACAGAGGTGACTGCTGCGCTGGGGACCCACGGCCTGGCCAGTTGTGACACTGGTGGAAGCACAGGACCCATCTGCACGCTCAGTTTGGGGCCATCCTGGCGTGCTGTGGCACCAAACCATCCCACACCCACAGGGGATCACCCACACAGGCAGACATCCCTTGATGCCCTGGGAGCCCCTCAGCCTGTCTGTGGGAAGAGCATGAAGCCGCTGAAGACGCTGTCAGCCTCGGAGCCACTGTAGATGGAGCTGCCCCGGGCGGGGTGGGTGGTCACGGACACCTGGTCGCCCGGGGCCAGGCTGAGGACGCTGCTGCCCGAGTTCACCTGCAGGATGCCGACGCTGTTGTTGTCGCAGAAGCTGACGACATCCTCCCTGTTCTTGGTGATGCTCAGGCACAGGTCCCCGCTGGAGACCACCTGGTAGGCGAAGTAGTAGAGCCCGGGGATGCGGCAGGTGAACTGCCCCGTCTGGGGGCTGTAGGAGTTCTCCTCGTTGGTGATGATGTTGTCGAACACCACCGTCCTGCCCATGGACGGCGGGGACCTCCGCGAGGCGGAGAAGGCAGGGCGTGGCTGCTCCAGGGTATTGCCGGGTAGCCCCTTCTCCCCCTTGAACCCTGGCAGCCCTGGCATCCCAGTGACGCCAGGGAGGCCAGGGAGGCCGCGGTTCCCTGGAATGCCAGGAGGGCCGGGGTCACCTGCATCCCCTTTGGGTCCCTGGATGCCCGTCCTTGGCGCTGGTTTCCCTGGGGAGAGGTGGTGAAGAGGAGCAGTTGGTGCACATCCAGCATCTCCCAAGCTGCTCCCACAGCCTGGGGTGCTCCTATCAAGAGGTTCCCAGGCTCCCCACACTGGGCATCTCAGGCTTCCCCTTACCTGGCTCTCCCATGTCACCCTTCTGCCCTGGCCTCCCATCACGGCCAGGCACTCCAGGGAAGCCATCCTTGCCATCTGGTGCCCGGCAGACTCCATTCTCCAGCAGGGCTGTGCTCAGCACTGCTGCCAGGGTGCTGATCCCCAGCCAAAATTCGGGTTGCATCCTGCCTCCTACAAGCAAAAGGGTGGGGAATTGGGGATGGAGGCAAACACACGGATCCTGGACACGGACATGCAACTGCTCTCAGCACTTGTTTGATACAATTCACCAGACACCGCATGCAGTGGTGGAAACAGCTTCCTAGAAGGGTTTTGGAGGTGTTTCCTTGTGTGATCAGAAATAACAGAAGTCAATGAAAATCTCTGACATGCCCATGGCAGGACTGTGGGATTAGAAAGCCTGAGATGTAGATGACAGCAAAAACCCAGGATGTAAAGGACAATTTCATGTCCTGGGGATGGGTCGTGGCTCCTCAGATGCATGTAGAGGATGTTTAGTGCAGTTTTGAGGGAGAAGCAGTGATGTACAGGGCTGTGGTTCCATGGGACAGAGAACACATGGGAAGAAAGGATGCAAAGAGACATGACAGGGAGGGGAAAACAGGGAAACGGGATCCAAATCTCCAACACACAGAGCTGGGAGAACAGAGAGATGCCCTGAGCACACAACACCTATCTCAAAACCTGAGGTGCTCAGCCTGAGACAAGCCCGCAGAGCCCAGTGATGTCCACAACCACACAGAGCAAGGACAGATTCTTGCAGCTCCCCCCGCCCTTGCGTCATCTCCTCCCATTTTCCTACTTTAAACTCCTGTGGAGGGGGAATGTGAAGAAAGAATGAGGACAGGGAGCAAGGTCAGGAGAGTGGTGGCAGAGGAGGAGTGTGTCCCCTGCTCTTTGGGGTGACTTACCTCGGTGCAGGGGGTCAAGGCAGACCAGAGTGAGCAGCAGCTCAGTTTGCTGGAAGCTCCTCCCTGGGAGCAGGGAGGAAGAGGAGCAGGGATGTCTTTGCACGCACCGTGGTTTGCCCGTCAGGGAAGGGACGTGCCGAGTTTCGCTTTCTCTGTACGAGAAAGAACTTTGTTCCCCTTTCCCCACTTGACTCTGGCTGTGCTGGAAACAGCTTGGTCATCAAGAGTGCAGGACTGCTGGGTGCCCAGCCTGGCCCAGCAGCACAGCTCCCACAGCAGGGACTGGTGGACACTGGGCACAAAGCAACATGACAGTGGAGGGTGCCCAGAGGCTGCCCAGGGCAACAGCACAGCTCTGTCCCTGCAGGAGGGGACAGGTGATCACAGCACCAGGGGTCACAGCCAGCCAAGGAATGCTCAGAGGGGGCCCAGGGATCACCTTTGAGGGCTCCTGGTCTGGGTGATGAGCAGAGTGTGTCTGCCACTGGTACCCAGCCTTGTCATAGTGGCTGCTGGGGGCTGACCCCTCCAGATGCCCACCTGGGCACTGCAGCCTGATGGAGCAGGGAATGTCAGTGCCTGTGTGGCTCAGCAGGACCCTGAGCATTTAGGCTGGATATTAGGAAAAGGTTCATCTTCCAGAGGATGATTTGGCACTGAACAGGCTCCCCAGGGCGGTGGTCAGGGCCCCAAGGCTGTCAGAGCTCCAGGAGTGTTTGGACAGCACTCTCAGGGACAGAGTGGGATTGTTGGGGTATCTGTGCAGGGCCAAGCAGTTGGACTGATGATCCCTGTGGTTGTGTTGCAGCTCAAGATATTCTGTGATCCTATGGTCTCCTTCCCACTGCCTTCTCTTCATTGCTTTGGGGACCCTGTGCCTGTAGTAGAGGGGGTGTCTGGCACTGCTCTCAGTTCCCTTTGGGTGGCTGTGCCTTGCACCAACCAGATCTGGGCAACCCCTGGAGCTGTGTGGCCTCATGAGACTGGACAAATGAAACACCAACATTTCATCCCACTGAGTGCAGGGAAAGAGCCCAGGGATGTGCCTTCAGCTCTGCTAAAAATGAGCCCCAAATGCCACAAGTGCCCAAGCCCCATCGTGCCAGGGAGTGAGTGGTGAGAGGTGCCACGATGATCCCAGCAGGGACCGTGGGGTCCTTGGGGCCCTGGGGACCAACCAGGGGAGACACAGTGGGTTGTGAGGAGGGGCTTTCTGATCCATATCCACCTGGACTGTCTTTTCAGGTGTCCTATGGCAGCTGCACTGACCTTCATGAGAAAGAGGCATTGGGGTCCCCAAAGCTGGAGCTGGGGTTCAGAGGAGAATGTCCAAGGAAAGAGGGCAGTGAGCAGGCCTAGGGTGGCTCTAAAGCCCAGGGGTGCTGGCAACCCTCCCTTTCCCCCCTGCCTGCCAACTCTAGCAGTCCCAAGGAAGGTGTTGCATCATGTCTAATACAGCTGAAAAAGGGAATGACCAAAGCTCAGCGCCGAGACCATTGCCAGCAGAGATCTGTCACTGAGCTGGTCTTTAATTCATTGAATAGATGCCCTCTTAATGTAATATAATACATATTTTTAATCAAAATGTCATCCCATAATAAATCAGATGCCCAGAAGAAATGCAATTTTATTTTATCAACAGAGTTCCTCTATCAACCAGACCTGTAACCGTGTCAAGACAAGATGACAGGTGAGTTTGAAAGGACCTACCTTCCACCAAACGATGCTTCTGGACAGTAATTGTATTTCTGCCCCATTGCCCTTTCTTAATATACAGCCCAAATGAGACCACTCCATCATTTCATTCAGGATTGATCGATGGCTGGTCCTTGTGCTCCCATGTCCTTTGTCTCCTGTTGTCCCTTTAACCCCATTTAAATGCTGAATTACAGGGGCTGCTTGTGGGTCTCCAGTATCTCCTTGAAGCTGTGCTTGTTCCAGGTGTTCCCTCCTCCAGACTCCTGAGCAGTGTTTAGCCCCACCTGTGTGACTTTCAGAGTCACTGTGGTCAAGCCAAGCTTTCTTCTCCCATCCTCTGTCTCCTCCTCCTCCTCCTCCAGATCAGCAGCTGGGATATGGCAGACTGGTTTGTGTTGGAAGGGACCTTAAAGCTCATCTCGTTCCACTCCCTGCCACGGGCAGGGAGCACCTTCCATCACAGCCCAGTTGCTCCAAGCCCCGTCCAACCTGACACTTCCATGAATATCCAAGGGGCAGCCACAGCTTCTCTGGGCAACCTGTGCCAGGGCCTCCCCACCCTCCCAGGGAAGGATTTCTTCCCAAAATCCCACCTAACCCTAACCCTGTCCCCTGGCAGTGGGAAGTTACTCTCACTGCCATCCGTGGTTCCAGAGGATGGGGAGCCGTGGGTAAGCACTGCACGGCGCCATCCCGGAGGCTGCTGAGGACCACAAATGCCAGCACAAGGATCCTCGTCCTTCCCATTCCCGTCCGTGGGAGCGGGGGGTGGCCGGGGGGCCGCGGGCAGGGTGGGCTCGGCAGCGACGGGACGCGCCACGAGATGGCAGCGCTGCCTCAGCCGTGCTCGGTGCCACCCGCTCCTCCGCCCGAAGCGGGGGCGGGGAGACCCCCCTGGGGGTCCCCCTGTCCCCAGGTGTCCTGCAGGATGTCCAGGTGCGGAGTGAGAGCACGGACATCTCCGCACGTTGGGAGCCGGGATAACCCACCCCCTCCACGCGGCCACAAAAGCCCTTTTTCCCAGGGGTGGGGGCACTTTGGTACCCCCCCGAGACTGGGGGAGGAGTTTTCCTCAGTGAGGAAAGGAACTCCGTGGTGGGGCGTGTGAACCCTGCCAGGTTCTCCTGGCTGAGGTGGATCCAGCAGCACCATCACTCCATCACCGAGCAGGGGCCACGTCGATACGTGGGACCCCCAGGTGACATGGAATGGGGCCAAGCCCAAGGCAGAGGGGACAGTGGGTGTACCTGGAAGAGCCAGGGGATGTAGATGCTCCTCAGAGCTCCAGGTGTCACAAAATCTTCCCCAAAGGGGATGGTACTCTCAGTTTTGGGGAACCCGACCACCCAGGTGAGCATCCCCGTGATTTAGGGCACCTGTCGTGGCCTCCTGGCTCTGCTGCACACCAAGCAACTCTGCTCCAGAGGATTCTACCCTGAGCAACCCTCCTCCTTTCAGAATGGGTTCAGGATGGGCCACGGGGCAACACCTTCACCTCTTGCTGCCCTCCCAGTTGGTGCTGACAGGCAAGATCAGTCAGTGCCATCCCAGCCTTGCAGCCTTTCCTGGAAGAGCAGTGACCCCTGTGAAGCCTCCCCACATGTCCCCAGTGCCTGCAGGCACACACGAGCTGCCTGACAGCAGACAACAGGGAGAGATGCTCCTTCCCTGCTGGGGATCCCCAGGGTGAGGAGCTGACAGGCAGGAGCTGCCAGAGGAGGAGAAATCAGGCAGCTGGCACCTCCCTGTCACTGTGCAGGAGGCAGAGATGGAGATCAGCAGTGCTGTCAGGTACCACACACACCTCTGCTGCCAGTCACAGCATCCCAGTGCAGACCTGCACCCACTGGCATGCACTCTGCTGCAGCCACTGGTGGGTTAATGGTGCCTGGATAACCACACAGATGGATGTTAGAGCTGTTGAGCTGGGCTGTCCCAAAGCAGAATCACAGAGTCGTGGAATTATTAGGGTTGGAAAAGCCCTCTAAGATCGTGGAGTTCCACCATTGACTCAGCACTGCCAGGGCCACCCCTAAACCACGTCCCCAAGTGCCACATCCACATGTTCTTTGAACTCTTCTGGTGATGGTGACTCCATCACTGCCCTGGGCAGCCTGTTCCAATGCCTGACAGCCCTTTTAGTGAAGGAGTTGTTCCCAATATCCAACCTAAACCTCCTCTGGCACAAACTGAGGCCATTTTCTCTGTCCTGTCACTTGTTATCCGGGAGCAGAAACCTGCCCCCACCTGGCTCCACCGTCCTGTCAGGGGGTTGTGGAGAGTGATGGTGCCCTGGAAGGATTTCCTGACATGTCAGGTGAAAATCAGGCCACAGGGCCACTTGCCACACTCCGTAGCTGCCACACACGTCTGAAATATTTAAATTGCTGTCCCAGGGAATGTGTTGTTCCTGTGAAAAATCCTTGCAGAAAGCAGATGTGAGGAATAAAGACAGGTATGTGGTTTAAAAGGCAGGATTTCAGGCTCCAGCCCTTGCTCACTGTCATTGATGCACATCCCTGTCGGCTCATGGGGTGAGAGGAGATAGATGAGTGCTGAGCAGCCCTGGGCAATGTTGGGAAAGCTTGTCCCATCCTTCCCTCTTTTGTTCCCTGTTAAGAATGTCAGGGCTTGTCATTATTCGACATATATTGGTTAATTTGGCTGATTGTTGCCCATTCTTTAATGTATCCGTTATTTATTTATTCTCTGGTGTAACAAGCAGTTCCAGATTGATCACTTTGGCATGTAAATGAGCTGCTCTAGTGCTTGTCACTGAAATTTGTACATTGGGAGAATTTGCAATCAAACACAGCCGGAATCTAAATTACAACATTTCAGGCAGTAATAGCAGGGGGAAGACAGGAAGGATGTGCCATAAATAAGATGGGATCAAGATGGGGTGCCCAGAGCTGTGCTGACAACATGCCAGGAGCCCCATGGCAAGCAACAGGAGTCCCCACTGTGCAGAGACATGGTCCTGGCAGACCTGGCTTGTTCCCCCAGCAGAGAAGGCCAAACAGACTAAGGACCTCAGGGATCTCCATTCCAGGTCCTTGCTCATGGCAAGAATATTCCCAGCCCTAGATCAGGGTGGATATGGCTTTGCCTACCTGAGCCTTGAAACCTCCCAGGACAGGGATCACCCATCGCTCTGGTGACCTGTCTGAGGGCTGGACCACACTCAGCTAAAGAAGCACTTCCTGATGTCCATCTCAAATCTCTGAAGGTCCACTCCGTGTGACATCATTTGGCATTAGTGAGATGTCCTGGACTCTATTTCCTTGCAGTAGCTCCCAAGCAGCTGCAGCAGTGATCAGCTACCACCACGTCCCCGTGGGGTGGCTGCCCCACCGCT